TATATATATATATATATATATATTATACGTACCATAATTTTCGTAATACATTGTGGTTGTATATTTATTGAAGCATTTCCTTACAAGCGAAATAAAGAGGAAAAAGGAAGGGAGGACAAATAAGAGGAAATAAAAACAGAAAATGAATATATGGGTGCGCGCACGTGCGTGCGTGCGTGTGCGAATGAGGCGTAGATGAAATAAATAATCATAATAAATATTCAATCCCAAATAAATTGATAATTTATTTAGAGACGATTTATGATCTTAATTAGTTTTCAATAATTTTATTTGCATTAAATTAAAATGTAATAATTACAATGCCATAGATAGCATATCTGTTTATGTCGTATTCTGAATAAATTGTCAACAAATTTAAACCAAACATATCGTCATTTATTTTTTTTGTTGTAACATTAACATTAAACATTATTTCTCTATCCAGCCAATTAATTTTTCAACACCAAATGAGAGAGAGAGAGAGAGAGAGAAAGCGAGATTGGAATGAAAAGTGTAGTCTTCCCAATGTCTGATTACTTCTAAGTCTTCTAACTATATATTACTGTATTTTACGAAGAAAATTGCTAATTTTTTTAAGTATGTGTATGAAAAATAAATGTACAGGCAATTTTACTACTCAAAATGATAATTTAATGTTGATATATTTTGCACACAAATTAATACAAATTATTAATAAAGTATAAATATTGAAAAGTCGTCGTTCTACTCCCCGATTAACTTTTTTTCGTACTGGCGCCATAAATTGTGTGTTATATACACGCGCGCGTGTACATAATTTTGACTCATCTTACTTTATATTTACAATAACGTTCTTTTCAATGAACATCGGTTCATTGAATCGGGGTTCGAGCACACGGAGAACAGATTTACTTTTGCAAGTAATAAAAAGAATACGTTTAAGATACAATATCGAAGAGGGGTAAAAATATGTAACATGAAATGAAAAGTCGCAATTTTGTTTTGAAAATTGTATTGAAAGTTAGATAGGCAATATAATTATATAGTATATCGATTGTTAATTTATCGATATTTAATTGTAATAGATAATTTACGTTTTCTATATGTTACATAACAAGTGAAATACTGCGTACGAATACAACATACTGAAATACTTATCCTATTTCTTATTATTAAGCACATTTACTTTGGACGCTGGCACTTAAAATTGCAGTCAGATTAAAAACATGGTATCTCAGTTGCATCGAAATCGAGGCCTAAACGTACAAATATCAGAGAAATTTGTTTTGTTGCATTCTTTGAATTCGTATTAATAGTTTTTACATTTTGCACATATATACATATACATATTATATACATATATACATTATATATATATCTATATATATATATATATATATATATATATATATATTTAATGCGCAAAAAAGCTACATTTTCGATAATAATTTGAAGAATATTAGTATTTTGATACTTCTATCATTAAAAAATATATTATAATATCCCTCGGAAATTGATCGCGAGTAATATAAATAATGTTAACTTT